GTAATACATATAAATACATATATACATATATATATACTTATTTATATACAAAGAGAGGTGAGAGAATGGCATACAAATACAGTTACAGCTAGTTAGTTCTGACTGTACACAGTAATGCAGCGAAAACTCAGATTCCATTCATGCGTGCACCTCAACTTAATGAACATGCCCCTTGCAGTTGAGCGCATGACGTGTCGCCTGACGGTGATGAGTAATCAATGCATGTTGCACCCGAACGGGCCTTTCTGGCCACTGTTGCAGGCAGCGACCCTAACCTAACTTCATTTGTCAAGCGTGTGTGTGCAACGTGACACAAAAGCATAATGAACGAAGCAGCGCCGCTTACAACTCCATTAGGCAAACGAAAGCCTAAAGAAACGCAGCGATAAGGCGCTGACAGCGGCCCTATGCATAGAAAACGAAGTGATGGTGGTGGTTGCCGAGCGGAGAGGGAAAGAGAGTAATGAAAACATACGAAACATACGAGTGCTGTGCGATACATTGGAATGCGTTGCGTTGCGTTGCGTTGACACGTGAGAGCGGCGTTTCAGAGAGTGAGCGTGGCAGAGAGCGGAATGAAAAAGAGAGTGTGAGCAGAAGAAAGAGATTGAGAGAGCGACTAACCTGCACAGGCGCTGGAGTTGCTGCAGCTGTGGCCAGCTCATTGGGACTGCGCGAGCGCGCACGTCGCTTGTTGTTGCTGCTGACCACAGACGGCGGCGGTGGCGGCAGAGCTAACTTGTTTTGCTGCTGCTGCTGCTGCTGCTGTTGTTGTTGGTGTTGTTGTTGCTGTTGCTGTGTGGCACTGTTACTGTTACTGTTATTATTTTTTTCACTGCCGTCTGCCTCGTCGTCGAATTTAACCCAATTTTTGGTCGTCAGTTGTACGTCATCAACTGCAGTCACATCGCTGCCGTTATCATTCAGCGGCACATCCTGCAGTGGATGCGCTGGCATCGCAGTCGCAGTCGCAGTCGCAGTCGACGGTTGCGCCTGTGCCTTGCTGTCGTGATCCATTAGGTTTACTTTTTGTGTATTTGCAGTTTTAAGGAATGTGCGAATGCGCGATGCTGACGCGTGTCTGAAATTGTTGTAATTGAACGTGTTTTGCCTGGCTGAACGAATGCGATTTGTATTTAGCGTTTTGTTAGCTCGCTTTATGCCGCTTACATAACCTCAATAACAATTCACACTTGAGTTGTTGCCGCAGCGCTGCCGCTTTTGTATTTTTAACTGAGTTTTTCTTCTTCTTTTATTTAAATGTTTTTTGTATTTTTCTTTCTTTTTTTTGCGCAGCGCACGGAGCGCTTCGTTTACGTGTTGGCCGCTCACGCGTTCTCGTCACACTGCCTCGGCACACCCAAAAACAAAAAGCCGAGCTTAGCTTGGCTCAAAGGCGTGCTCGCCGCTCAACTTGCGCTCAGCTCAGCCAAAGCCCTTTTACCGTTTTGCTTATGTGTTCCGTTCTCACACGTTTCAAGCGCTGTTCAAGCGCACTCGACCCGCCTCTGGCTTTGACTGCAAACGTTCAACTGAGCTAGCGAACGGCTTTAGCTTTGCGTTGCGCTCACCTGTTGGCAGCAGCAGCAGCAGCAGCAGTTGCGGCTAAAGCTTTGTCTTTTGTCTACTCTCCCACACTCTCACTCTCTGCTCTCTGTCTCTCTCTCTCGCCAGCTCATTCATTAATGTTTTTGTTTTCCGTTGTAGCTCTTGCTTTTTTTTTCTCACATGACAAGTTTTTTTGCTGTTTAAATTTTTTTTTTCTTATTTTTTTTGTCTTTTCGTATGCCCAAACAAGTTGTGCCGCTACCCGTGTCAATCCCCTTCTCCCTCACACACTCTTTCTCTCTGTTCTGCACTGCTGCAATCTTTATGTCTCTCTGACTCACAATTTGTAGTTAGTTGTTCCATCGCCCCTTTCTCCCCTTCTCCCTCTCATCATAATCATTTTTATCTTTCTATTCATTTGTTTGCTCGCTTCGAGATCTTTGGAGTAGAAAATTTCGCAAAATGAGCAGCTTGTTAAGCGTGAGTATTTGTGCACATGCTGAATCAAGTGCGGGTGCCTGTGTGTGGGTGTGAGTGACTGCGCGTGTGTATGTGTGTTTATCTCACGATTAACTTCGCCACGCTGCTGCTTCAGTTTCAATTTCAACAAGAAGAACAACAAACAGCCATAACAACAACAGTAAACAATGCCTGTCGCATTGCTTATCAACAAAAACCATGGGGGGATTGGGGGCAATTTGTGCTCAACGCACCTCAACTGCCTATCGGCTATCAGTATTTCTTATTACAAGCAAAAGACAGCTCAACAAATACTAAGATCTATGTATTTATACTTAGTATGCAAATACTCATTAAAAATAGGCAAAATTTGGTAATCTTTGAAGCTGTCGCTTGCTTTAACGACGAGTTTCCACTGCCATAATCTAAATAAATAATTTAAGCTGTGCATATAAACAGTTAATTGTGTACTTGCTATTTAACGGTTTATGTTGCCACAAAGCTTTGCTTATTGCCAATCAATCAAAAAGTTGATATAATTAAACTGAAAATATTACTACAAGTACTAATATATTATCTATACTTTGGCATTTTGATATGTCGCATCTATCTATAAGTATCTTAAATATCCCGTATAATGTTTAGTATCTTGAAAATACCTCGGTGTTCTTAGTATCGTTAAGATTTACTCTCATCTTTGAGATCTGTAGGATACATAAAAAACTATCTGCGATATTTTAGTATTTTTACATACCATAAATTTTCATATCGTACAGATACTTCAGTATCTTAATCTCTTTTGTTAATTAGCATTTCGAAAACATGATAATATTTATCTAATATCTAATCTAATATATTTACCTCTCTTATCATATTTCTTTTAAATATGTTTTAATTAAATAAAATAAAAGTGCCCATCTTTATCGTATTCAGTCTGAATTCAGTTTTTCTTGTAGGTTGTGCAATTTAAAATCAATTTGACGTCTGCTCTGCCGTCCAGTTAGGCGTGGGTCCAGTTTCGGAATGTGCCTTCGATAAGCGTAGCAACATTTAATAACAAATTTATGACGTTGCGGTGCATAGTTTTCTGGCCAGGGACGATATTCTAGTGGCAATTGGGCAGAAGGCCGCACAACAACTTTTTGGCCGGCAATAAATTATGCCACAATATTATTATATAAATGGCGCGGAGAGTGTTGAACGGCTGCAGAAAAGGAATTTGGCCCAGTGCCAACGGGCCCAAGCCGGCCGAAGCATTGGCCAAAAAGTTGTTAAGCAAATTATGGTCCCTGGCTCACACACACACTCACACACACAGATGCACTAAAATATATCTGAAACTCTTACGTTATGCTTCGAGATGCCGGACTTGGCCCAAACCACATTTCCAGCCCAGCCGAATGCAGTTGGCCAAAAAATTATCATTGGCCATTGAAAGCTGCTGAAATGGTCTTTTGCTTCAACTGCTAATGGCAACAAAAGTGTGCAAAATGCTAAAACTTTTTCCATTTCTGTGCCGAGAAAATTGTCGAAGGACATTTAAATAATATTTTTCTTACCAAAAAGTTTCCATAAATTTATATATTTAAACTTATATGATAATAATTATAATACCAAAATTGATACTCCGATTCTCCTTTTTTTTTTTTTTGAAGAATTTGAAGAATTTGTAAAGAAGCTACATTAGACCCTATGCATATCTGTCTGACTATCCATTTAGCTGTGCCTACATATGTCTGTCTATGAGACGCATAGTCCGTTAGTTTGTCCGCCGTATGAACGTCTCTCCGTATGTCTGTTTTTTACGCTCCTATTTTGCTGCCAGCCCAGCTGTATAATTCCATCTGTTTCATTAACTATGAGTGCTGAAGGATTACAAGTCAAGTCCCACTCATGAGCATATAATTTACATTGTATATATCATTACAGTTCGAACAGATCAAAATGAATTTATAGAAAACCAACGGTCATATAATCTGAAGCCATCAAAACCGTATTTGAGCTGAATTCTTAGGTAATAAAATTGGATATTCATCATTTATGCCAAACCTCTCAGAGCTCTACACATGCTTCAGGTACCTCCTACTATAACATAAAATAATATAATTGAAGTTACAAATAATTACAATTCAATATATGCTATATAAGTTATTTTTTTTATATATTTTGTAATTATATTTATATATATTACATTTAATTTACCTATCTTTATGATCAGTATAAATCTCACTGATTGAAATACTAAATTTAATGCCGGCTTTGCGCAGTTAACCTTTTTGGCTTTGTGGAATACCCTTAATATCTGCTAAGATTCATAAATTACTCAAATGTAGCTCGAATTGTCTTTTGTCGAGTTGGCCAAAAATCTTTGAGGATTTGGGCAGCCCTAATAAACTTGCTAAGCCATAAATCGCTCAACATGCAAAAATCCATTGTTCGTGATGAGTTTTTTAACTTGGCTAACGGCGCTTTGACTAGCCACAAAAATTGCACTCTCAGCCAAGAAGGCAGACGGAGGTGGCAGCCAAGCAGTCAGCCAAGAGCCTAATTAGGCCAAATTAATTGCCTGCGCTTTTGACACTTTCAAAGACCAAACGACCCACCGTCAACCACCCGGTTCCAACTCGCCCCTCCCCCCGCGCGACGTCTCAGCGGCGCAGTCCGCTCAAAGTCAACAAAACAAGCAAACCAAGTACAACACTCAAAAGTCTATTTGCAGGCATCGTTTCCCTTCTGGCTGCCAGCCCCCCAGTTTTGGCAAGAGTAATGTTGGCAATTTGTTGGCCGCCTTCGTCGTCGTCTTATTAACCCGCAACAGGAATCGGAGACACGCCGCAGCCGACTTGGCAAAAAGTTGCCGCAACTTTTTGGCCGACTCGAGAATGTCCAACGGGCATATAAATTAGCCAGGCTGGTAGCAAAAGACACTGCCAAGCAGCTGCTCCTCTCCTTATTACACTCTGTCCTCACGCTCTCTATCTCTGTCCTCACGCTCTCTATCTCTGTCTGAATGTCTGTCCCTCACGCTCTCACTCTCGAGCAAGTGCCAAAGTTTTGGCATCAAAAAATGTTTTCAAATTAAGCTAATTTATATTATATAAACACACTAAAGACGCTTAATGAGGCTGTGGCTCCATTCAGGCTGTGGGCGTGGCCACATAAGATGTTAACAACTCTCGTATATACGTGTCTGTATACACAAATACCCTGTAATTTCYGGAAAATTAGTGTAAGAGGTAATAAAATAAAAATAAATAAATAATAAAAATAAATAAAATGCACAAAAAATTATTAAATTATAAAATAAAA